TGTCAAGCATTGTAATAACGTGAGAATTGCTTATAGTATAATAGTAAACAAAAAAGGCTGTATGAAGAATCACATGGATAATATTCTAATTGTATAAAGAAAATCAGACAGAATGCATCAAAATGTTACAAGAGTTTATATCTGGATACTACAATTTAGAGTAATTTTATTTTTGATTTATAGTTTTTCTCTCTTTACAAAGTTTAGACAATGATCATATTTTACAGTTTAATAAGGAAAATACATTTTTAAAAGCCTTGTACACCTCAATCAGCCAGAATATTTAGGGACTACATCTTACTCATCTTTGTGTCTCTAGCCCCAACTCACCCAGGCCCTGGCAGAGGAAAGAAACAGAAAAAATGAGAAGAAGAAAGAACTTATTTCCTTTCTGAGATATGCTTAGGTAAAGTTTGCTATGAATTTATGGTTCACGTGGAAGTTTGGAGTATAACATTAATCTTATGTGACTTCATCTGTCAGTTATTAAACTGAACTTGGGATGCTGAGACAAGAAATTAATAAGAAGAGGATGATTTCATGCTGAAGGATTGGTTGGTTAGAAACAAAGAAAGTAATGCATCTTAGTTCCAAATACAGGAAGAATCTTTTATGGGCAGTGATGTTGTGTGAGCTAAGATTAATTGGTTTCATTGACAAGAGTATTGGTCTGGTCATTAATGATGGTATTGGCTGAAAAGAAGATGACTGTCAAATTAGAGAATAACTGCACAAAAGTAGAGTCCACTTTTAAAAATGTAATCTTGTTGCTTTCATTGCTTAGAGGAGAAGGCATGATTTATCGCTCAAATTTAATTTTAAATCACATGTAGGACACTTTCATTGACAGCCATTTCACACTATTAAAACCCCATGACATTTGTTGCACTTCGATTTCATTCCAGTATTTTTTAGCCATATCCTTTTTTACTATTTGAATTTAAAAATTTAGAAAAGTGCTATATTAACTTATCCTCACTGTAATATATTCAGACATTTATAGGGAAATATGTGAAAGTCTTTCCCTGTTTCTTGCCCAACCCTACTGATCCCCTTCCTCAAATGCCTTTCTTCTAAGAAAGGTAGCCATTATTATTATTTTTTAAATTAATCCTCACCTGAGGATATTTTTCTATTTATCTTCAGACAGTAGGAGGGAGAGAGAGAGGAAGAGAAAGTGAGAGAGAGAAAAACATTGACGTGAAAGGGACACATTGACTGGTTGCCTCCTGCACGACCCAACCATGGCTGGGACGAACCACAACCAAGGTACGTGCCCTTGACCAGAATTGAACCCACGACTCATTGATCTGCGAGTCGATGCTCTAATCGCTGAGCCAAACCATCCAGAGCAGCCATTGTTACGTTTATTGTGTATCCTTCCAAATGATTCCTTATGTAACAATATAAACATATATGTGCAAATCAGATATATACATCTACCTACTTTTCCTCTCTCCTCTCCCTCTCCCCTCTTCCCCTCCCTTTCTCCCTCCCCACTAAGTCACATATACACACACACATACATACACATATAAAATATTCATACACATACATATATATGTATATATGTGTGTGTCCCCTATAAATGCAAACAATTTGTACATGGTTTTGTAAAATTTAGTTTTTCATTTGCAGTCCTTTTCAGTTTAACAATTTTTTCATGTGAATACAACTAGATCTACCTCACTTTTTAAAAACTAATGCCTATTAGCTCACACTATCAATATGCCACAATTTGTTAACTCATTTCTTTATTGAACAAACAAAAACAGAAACAGACCCATAGATACAAAGAACAGATTGATGGTAGTCAGAGGGGAGGGGTGTTGGAGGGCTGAGTGAAAGAGGTGAAGGAATTGAGAAGTATAGATGGGTAGTTATAGAATAGTAATTGAAATGTAGAGTACAGCATAAGAAATATAGTAAATATTAGTGTAAGAACTATGTATGGTGCCGGATGGGCACTAGAAATATCAGGGGAACACTTTTTAAAGTATATGATTGTCTAACCACGATGCTGTGCACCTGAAACTCATACAAAATAATACTGAATGTAAAGTATAATTGAAAACAAAAATTTTTAAAGAAAGACAATTACTTTTTTTATGGTTTTCTTTGTTTTGACAATTAGGTTTTATTGTTGCTGTTTTCTGCTTGTTTATGTTTTCCTAAAAACAAGACTGTAGTGAATATCCTTGTGAATGCCTGTTTGGCACAAGTACAAACATTTCTTTTTTTTTTTCATTATTGATTTTAGAGAGAGAGGAAGGGAGAGGGAGAGAGAGATAGAAACATCGATGAGAGAGAACATGGATTGGCTGCCTCCTGCGTGTCCCACACTGGGGATTGGGCTCACAACCTGGGCATATGCCCTGATGGGGAATCGAACCGGTGACCTCTTCGATTGATGCTCAACCACTGAGCCACACCGGCTGGGCTTGATTCTTAGAGTCTCCATCTCTGTGTTTACATGTCAGCCAGTTCCTGAATGTTGTCTAACTATATATTTCCATTGCAGCTGTTAATATATTAATCATAGTTATTTTAAATCCCCTGTCTAATAATTCCAGAATCTGTCTCTGAGTCTTGTTCTTCTCATTGCTTTGTCTCGAGACTGCGTTTTTAGCATGCCTTGTAACTTTCCTGTTGAAAGCTGGACATGACGTATCATGTAATAGGAACTGAGATAAACAGGCCTTTAGTGTGAGGTTTTATGTTAATCTAGCTAGAAATTGGGTCATGTCTCATGTTTGCTGTAGGTGCCAAAGACTTCAGATTCCTCTAGTGTCCTTGTTTTTGTCCCCTGTTGTCTTTGAGTTTCCCTAAGAACCCCTTCTTAGATGGAATCAGAATTTTGCAGTGATTTTGGCTGTAATATTCACTGCTGTTAAGTGAGAACACTGTTTTTGTAAGAATAAAATGTAAGGAAGTCACCTTTAACCCTACTTACTGTATCTATTATCATATCATAAAATATCTATCACTTTTAGGTAGTCAAATCCCTTCTTTTTTTTTTCCTTTATATCTAACATATGTTGTTGGCTTAAGGAAGTTTCCCCCATCTCAAGATGATAAAATCATGAATATAGCTGTACAGACTAAATAACAATAACAAGAAGAAAAACATCTATGTACTTGACTCCCAAGTTGAGATATAGAAGATTTCTGTTACCTTTGAAGGCTGGCTGTGGGCCTATGTTTGATTTTGTCCCCCTGTCTTCTCTGATGAGCTAACCATTGTCCTGAATATCACTTTTCTTTAGTTTTATCACTTGTATATGTTTCCCCAAATAGCATATTATTTCTTCATTTTTTTTTAGTACCTTTTTTTTTTTTTGGTATGTTCCCCTAGCGGGAACTGAACCCGGGACTCTCTGGTCTGTAGGCCGTTGTTCCAACCGCTGGACCAAACCAGCCAGGGCACATACTATTTCTTTTTCCCTGTTTGGGGGCTTTGTATAAATGGGATCATACTTAATTGTATTGGTCCGTGTTCCCCAGAGAAACGGACCAATAGGATGTTTGTGTATATGTATGTATGCATATATTTTTAAAATAAGGAGCCCTGGCCTGTTTGGCTCAGTGGTTGGAATGTCAGCCCGTGGACCAATGAGTCTCGTGTTCAATTCTGGTCAAGGGCATGTACCTCAGTTGCGATTCATCCCTGGTCCTGGTTGAGGTCATGTGGGAAGCAGCCACTCGATGTGTCCCTTTCATGTCTATGTTTCTCTCTCTTTCTTCCTCTCTCTCCCTCCCACTCTATCTGAACAAAAATGGAAAATTGTCCTCAGGAGAGGATAAAAAAATTAAATAAAATAAATACAATAAAATTAGGAATTGGCACACATGGTTATGGATGATATAAAGTTCAATATCTGCAGGGTTGGATGGCAAGCTGGAGACCTAGGAGAGCTGATAGCTGATGTTTCCGTTCAAATCTGAAGGATGTCTGCAGAGAAGACAGGGGGAGAAAATCAAACATAGGCCCATAGGGGCCTTCAAAGGTAAGAGAAATCCTTCGTATCTCAACTTGGGTGTCAAGTACATAGATATTTTTCTTCTTGTTATTGTTCTTTAGTCTGTCCAGCTATAGTCATGTTTTATCATCTTGAGATGGGGGAAACTTTCTTAAACCAGACAATAGATATCAGACTATAAAGGAAAAGCTGAAGTTGCAGATGAAGTCCCAAGGGAGTCTGTTGGAGAATTGTCTCTTGCTCGAGGTAGGCTGGCTGTAAAGTTCTGTTGAGGGCTTAAATGGGTTGGAAGAGGCCTATTCACACTGTAGAGGAAAATCTGCTTTACTGAAAGTCCACCATTTTAAATGTTAATCTTGTCTGGCTCGTGTGGCTCAGTGGTTGAGCATAGACCCACGCACCAAGAGGTCGCCAGTTCGATTCCTGTGTGGCCTAATCGATGTTCTCTCTCATCGATGTTTTTATCTCTCTCTCCCTCTAACTTCTGCTCTCTCTGAAATCAATAAAGGCAAAACAATTTTTTTAAATAAAAAATAAATGTTAGTCTCATCCAAAAACACCCTCACAGCAACACCTGAATAATATTTGACAAAATATCTGGCACCCTGTGGCAGAGCCAAGTTGACACATAAAATTAACTGTCATACCTATATATTCCAACGTGGCTTGCTCTTTTTGGTCCAATACTATCTATTTGCATCACATCCATATTAATACATGTAATTTATGTTCACTATTGTTTTCAGTTTTTGAATATACCACAAGTTACATATTTCACTGTTACTGGATATTAAGTTTGTCTCATGTATTTTTTTGTCCCAGGTCAGAAAAATTTAATGCACACATTTCAAAAGTCAATGGCAAGAACAAAATGAATAAAATAAAAACGGGTTCAGGGGAAGACAACCATTGGCACACACAGGGAGGGGCCGTGAGTGGGCTAGTTTGCTGGAGCAGGAGGATGCCCACCCTTGGGCATCACATCTCATCCAGCCCATCTCATCCAAACCGTAGTGGTCCTCAGGGAAATCCCCACTGTCCAACTGATAGATTGAGGAAGGCAGGACATTGGATGTAGCATTTCTCATTCACAGTGCCATCGTTTTTCCCTAGTGGTCCCTCACAGCAGATGCCAGTGCAGTAGCCAGACTTGAAATCTCTGAGTCCTACATACATGACGAAGCCCCAGTGAGGGGGCTGCCCAGATGACTGCATGTCACAATGGCTGCCCGTAGGTATGGCACTGGCCTGGGCCTTCTCCTCCTTGAGGCACTGGGTGGTCTCACCCTCTGGCCGTACCCACTCCTTTCCATTGCATCGGCCTAGCTTGCTGCGCTTCAGGAAGGAGCAGAGTGAATCTGGCCTCTGGTCACAAGCTTTTTGTAAGACCCTGTATTTCTCCATCTTGGATGCGTCCTCATACTCTCCAAGGCGGCCACCGCTGTGATCAATGACATAGATGTGGCAGCCGTCATCTGCAGGGTACAAGCCCAGGCGTGCATCCTCCTGATCCAGCTTGCTGGACAAATGCTCGTCAGCTGCATACAGCACCGGTTGCATGCACGACACAGGGCTGCCCAGGACTAGCCCTAGTTTACACGTGAATTCAGCTGTTGCAAGCCTCCACGGCTTCTCCAACGGAAAGCTGTTGAGAAAGCTGGTGATGTAAACGGTCACTGTGGGAGTGGATAACCTGCCACCTCCATCTCTCTGAGCCCTGCCTGCTGGCCTGTCTCATGTATTTATTATGTGAGTAAAGCTGTATACATTTTTCTAAATGTCTCTTGATGTACATATATCAGAGATTTTAAGGTTTACCTCAAAGAGGAAATGCTGACTTGTAAGGTATGCATATATTCAACTTACTAGGTGACACCAAAATGTACTCTTAAAAAGAAGTGTTTGATATCTGGTAGGGTACATTCTCTAAGTTATTCTTCTATACTGCCTTGACTCTTCTTGGTCCTTTGTTGTTGTTTTTTGTTTATTTTTAAAATTTTTTATTGATTTTTAGAGAGAGAGGAAGGGAGAGGGAGAGAAAGATAGAACCCTCAATGAGAGAGAACATTGATTGGCTGCCTCCTGCATGCCCTCTACTGGGGATCGGGCCCACAACCTGGGCATGTGTCCTGACCAGGAATTGAACTGAAGACCTCTTGGTTCAGGGGTCAATGCTCAACCTCTGAGCCACACTGGCCAGGCTCTTCTTGGTCCTTTGTGCTTCCACTTGTTTTTGGACTCAACATGTCAAGTGCACAGAATCTTCTTTCCAGCCTCTGATGAGTTCAGTGTATTGCATAAGAAGTCCTTTCCTAAGTCAAGATTATAAACAAGTCTGCATTTTTGTCAAATACTGTTTGCTTTTTACATTTAAGCCTTTAACCTCATCAGGAAATTATTTTTGTGTTGTTTTAAGTTTGGGATTGATTTTTTTTTTAATGGAGATTTAATATGAGCAATCGTGGGAAAGCAAGTTTAAAGACAAACAAGGCACAGATGGAGTATGAACCAAGGAAAACAGATATTGGGTCCATTTTACAGATTTGAAAACTGAGTCTGAAAGAGAACCTAAGTAATTTCTCCAAGATTGCTCAACTGAAGCGCCAGAATTAAAGTAGGACAGTTGGCCTGGCCAGTATGGCTCAGTGGATTGAGAGTCATCCCATGCACCAAGAGGTTTGATTTCCAGTCTGGGCACATGCAGGGGTTGTGGGCTGGATCCCCAGCAGGGGGCATACACGGGCACATGATCAATTTTCTTTCTCTCTCTAAAAACAGTCAGTAAAAACATATTTAAAAAATAAAAATAAAAAATAAAAGTAGGATAGTCTAACTCTAAAATACATATTCATTTTAAATTTTTTTCCTTGTGCTCCATCTGGAATTTATTTTTTAAAAACAGTTGTCCTGTTGCCCAAAATACAGTTCATTGAATATACCATAATTTTCCTACTTACATACCCACTATATGGGAGAGCATAATTGCCAACAATACATCAGATAAGGGGCTAATTTCCAAAATATATAGAGTACTCATGCAACTCAACAAAAGGAAGACAAAGAACCCGATTAAAAAATGGGCAGAAGAGCTAAAGAGACACCTCTCCAAAGAGGAGATACAAATGGCTAAGAGACATGAAGAAATGCACAACAGCACTAATCATCAGAGAGATGCAAATTAAAACAACAATGAAGTATCACCTCACACCTGTCAGAATGGCCGCCATCAACAAATCATCAAACAAGTGCTGGCGAGGGTGTGGAGAAAAGGGGACTCTAGTATATAAACAATCTCTTTTATTACATATTAAATTCCTATATAAAAAGATATGTTTTCTATTAATCAATTTCTCTATTTTGTGCAGGTAGCATACAATTTTAATTATTAATATCTTTATTGTATATGTTGGTATTTAGAAGAGTTTATTAGTTTTCTGTGGCTTCTGTAACGTATGACTGCAATACTGAGTGGTTTGTGTGTTTCACAGTTCTGTAGTTCAGAAGTTCAACATCTAGGTGTTCACTGAGCCACACTTTTGCCAGAGGCCCTAGGGGGAGTTCCTTGAATCTTTCAGCTTCTGGTGTCCTCAGGGTTTCTTTGGTTTATGGCTATATCCCTCCAATCCCTGTTTCCATCGTCACATGGACTTCTCTTCTGTCTCTCTAATTTCCTGCCTCACTCTTCTTAAGGGCACCCATCTGACACCATATATAGTTATTAAAATATTATTGACTATATTCCCCATGCTGCACAAATTGGTAGCTACAAAGTGTCCATTTTAATATTTCTAAAAGGGAATACATCTTTTCAGTGATTAAAGAATGTGTTCTGAATCTCAGGAAAGTTGAACTTAACTCAAATACGCTTCCCATCAATGGAGTTCAAAGGTAACTTGCTATCTGAAAGATCAAATAGATTTCAGTTTCCTTAAATTCATAGCACATATACAGATTAATCTAATCTTCAATAACATGTGCAAATTATACAAAAGATAATTTTCTTTGACTATCATCACTATAATTCATTTAACACATTTATGGTGTTTGTCACAGAGAAAGGTCCTCTTATTTTGACCCTAGATTTTGGAGTTCATACTATTTTGTGTGGTCCAAATTATCCTATTCAGCTACATCAATGACACTAAGCTGCTAATATTGATATCCTAGTTCAAAATTTGAGTTTATGATCTTTGAATTTAGTATCAGCTACTCTGTAGAAGTTACGAGTACAGAGGAAAAAATTGAATATGCTATTCCCATGATTCAAGTCATCCAAAATGTGTGAACTGTTTTGTATCTATCAAGTACTGAGGAAAATTCATAAGACATGATTTCTGCCTTTGAAAGAAGGGTGCCTATTAGAGGACAGAGGCATTCCATGAAGAGGCATCTAAGAAAAAGTTCCTGTTTTTTAGATACCAAAGTCTCCCATTTTTTAATTATAAACATTCATATATTTTTTTTCTTTCAAATCTTTATTGTTGGATGTTAAATGTATTACAGATGTTCCACATTTTTCCCCCATTTACCCCCTCCTCCCCACTCCTGCCCCCCTCTTACCTTTTCCCACAGTATTGTCTGTGTCCATTGGTTATTCATATAAGTTCTTTGGTTTATTTCTTCCCACTCCCCAACCCCTTTCCCTTTGAGGTTTGTCAGTCTAGCAATGAATTTGTGCTTCTTAATCCCTTCACCTTTTTCACCCATTCCCTCAGCCCCCCTCCCAACTGGCAATCAACAAAATGTTCTCTGTATCTATGAGAATGTTTCTGTTCTACCTGTTCATTTTGTTTGTAGATTCCATTGTTGATAGATATGTATTCATTGCCATTTTGTTTGTTCCTACATTTTATCTTTTTCTTCAAAAAGACCCTTCATCATTTCATATAATAACGGTTTGGTGGTGATGAACTCCTCTAACTTTTTCTTGTCTGGGAAAGTTTTTATATGTCCATCGATTTTAAATGACAGCTTTGCAGGATAGAGTAATCTTGGTTGTAGGTTCTTGCTTTTCATCACTTTGAATATTTCTTGTCACTCCCTTCTGGCCTGCAAAGTTTCTTTTGAGAAATCAGCTGACAACCTTATGGGAACTCCCTTGTAGGTAACTAGCTGCCTTTCTCTTGCTGCTTTTAAGATTCTCTCTTTTTCTTGAACCTTTTGCAATTTGATGATGATGTGTCTTGGTGTGGGTCTGTTGGGGTTCATCTTGTTTGGGACTCTCTGTGCTTCCTGGACTTGTATGTCTGTTTCCTTCACAAAGTTAGGAAAGTTTTCTGGCATTATTGTTTCAAACAGGTTTTCGATTTCTTGTTCTCTCTCGTCTCCTTCTGGCACCCCCAAGATGCGAATGTTGGCACGCTTGAAGTTGTCCCAGAGGCTCCTTACACTATCCTCATTTGTTTGGATTCTTTTTTCTTTTTGCTGTTCTGATTGGGCATTTTTTGCTTCTTTATATTCCAAATCAATGGTTTGCTCCTTGGATTTACGTACTCTATTATTGAAGCTGTGTAAATTATTCTTTATTTCAGTTAATGCCTCCTTCAATTCTAACTGTGTATCCATGATTTCTAACTGGTCCTTTTTTATGCTCTTGAGGCCCTCCCTAAGTTCACTGAGGTTCTCACTAAGTTCATTGAGCATCCTTATAAGCAGTATTTTGAACTCAGCATCTATTAGGTTGCTTATCTCCATTTCGCTTAGTTCTTTTATTGGGGTTTTGTTCTGTTCTTTCATTTGGGACCTGTTTCTTTGTATCCTCATTTTGTCTGCCTCCCTGTGTTTGTTTCAGTGTATTACTTACTGAGAGGTATGGGGCTAGCTGAGACCAGATGCTGCTCGTTTGAAAGAATTTAGGAAAAACCTGAAGCAGGATCCAAGACAGCCCAATCCTATGGTTAAGCAAGTGGCAACAGCTTGGGTGGGCTTGAAAGTTGGGTGGGGCGGGGCGGGGCCCCAGGGAGTCAGCAGGGCGGGGCTACCAGGTTGCTGGAGTCCCAGATATGGGGACTGTCTGCCGCCCCAGGGAAGGGCTCACCAAAGGAACAAAGGCCTCTGACAGCACGTTTGTCCCCGAGAAAGCCCCCGCTCCAGCCCTCGCTCCAGTGCCAAACAGCGCAGTTCTTCCCTGTAAGTCTCTGGTGCCCCTCGAGCTGCCTCCCCTCCAAGGTAAGAGGGAGTGAATCCAAGTAAGTCCGTGCGTGGGCCCTTTAGGGAGCTGCCTGGGGCTCCAGCTGCCTCAGCCTCCCTGAGCCTCAGTTCCCGCTGGTTTTTCCAGCCAGAAGTTATGGGGACTTCTCTTTCTGGCACTGGAACCCTGAGCGGGGCACCTGTTGTGGGACGGGGACCCCTCAGTCCTCAGGAAGGATCTTCCCAGCTGGGGAGCCTCCTGATTTTTATCCGCCACACGTGGGTGTGGGACCAGCCCATTGTGGCGCTGCCGCTGCCCCTCGCCCCTCCGCCCCTCCTACCAGTCTGGATGTGGCTGCTGCTTTAATTCTGTAGTTGTAGGACTTCCATTCAGCTTGATTTCAGGCGGTTTTGAATGATGATTGTTCTGT